CTTGTTCCCTCAATCCTCTAATATTCTTGATAGGTTTGATTTACTTCTATTGCTGTTGTTTGGATTTGTATGTTTTCCATATCTGTATTTTTTTGTATCCCAAAAGTAGAATTCTTTTGAAAATGGCTTAGATCACACTTCACAATGAATGACTTTGATGGGTGTTGACGACCACACTTAAAATTAAAACAATGAAAAATTAAGTGTAAAATATAAAAAGGAGAGAGTCGTCACTGGTCCAAATTATAAGCTGAGACAAGTCACCTGACACAAGTCTACGTAGAGAATAGGGTTCAAGGGTTCAGGAGTTCGGTTAGGAGTGAGGAATGGCATATGCACATCTCATAATTCTCTGTTTAAACACGGTTGCATACTTTAAAATTGGGGTTTTAATTCAACTTATTCATTATGTTTATATTTGGGTCTTAATAAACAAGCTTGAAAGAGAGATAAACCAAATTGCAACATTTTTAACCTTTTGGACTAAAATGGACAAAATCAAAGAGATGCATGGACAATGAACACAAGTAAAAATTAAGGGGTCTAGTTTGATTAAATTCAAAACATGAAGGATTGATTTGACTAAATTCACAAACATGGAGGATTGATTTAAAAAAGAGTTGAGACCTATGGACTAAATTGCTTAATTACAAAACTCTTGGGTGAAATTGAAATGAAGAAAGGTAATTTTGACTTTAACTAATATTAAAGGAAATTACGGATTTAAATTAATTAATTATGATGATTAACTTAATTAAATGATTAATTTAACAATTAATTAAAATTAACTAAAATTAATTAATAACATTATTAATCCTTAATCAAGATAATTAAATATTTATCTTAAATTAAGATTAATTAACATAATTAATTTATTTTAATTAAAGTTAATTAATTTTATTAATCATAAATTAGGTTAATTACCTTAATTAATTAATTCATTTTATTTATATTATATTTTTTTACCTTTTTTTAGTTTTTTTTAGACAGACTTACTGGATCGGGTCGGGTTGATCTGACCCAGAAACACGAACCTACCAACAAAAACCAGCAAAAACATATTAAAATCTGGACAGAAACCAAAGGAATTTAAGGTTCTTGTTTGGCCATTCAATAAAACAAACAAAGAAAGCTAATAAACATTCATTCAAATTCAGATCCATGAAATTCAAGCTTGATTTCATTCCCAATATCATCACCTAATACAATTCCAGCATGTCAAACCTAAAGAAGTTAAAACAAACACGGCGAAAATCTTTGAAGAAAACAGATTAGAATTGGGGGAGGGATCCCACCCACGGGATCAAGCTCCAACCCTCTCCCTCACTGCCTTTTCTAAAAATCTTCTCTGATCAGAAAAATTACCTAAAAGAAACAAACCCAGAAGATGCACAATCTCCTTCGGTGAGCTCTGGAGTTCAGCAATCGTCTTCCTCTCACTGCCACCTCCGGCAATACCCAAACTCAGACGAAAGAAAAACCCTTCTTTCTCCTCCTCGTAGTCTCCCTCTACTACTCAAAGAACCAGATAGAGACCCCAAAATCCAACTCCAAAATCAACCAAAAGACCTCCTTCCTCATCTGATTTTTTCTATATATATACCCAAATAAAAAAAAATAAAATGAAATAAATAAAAATAAATAAAAAACTTGCTCCATCAATCACTAATGATGCCGATTTTGTCTGGTATGTGCTGTTTTTTCTGTAGGTGAGGCAGGGGCATGGCTGTAGCGTGCAGGAGGCAGGGGCGCGCGGGATTGAGGTGCAGAGTGCAGGAGGCACATGCTCGGTGCAGCAGCAGGGGCACAGGCGGCAAGGGCAGGGGCACAGTGCAGAAGAGAGGGGGGTGTAGGAGGCGTGCAAGGGGGCTATGATTGCTGGAAGTGGGGCTCAGGCATGTAGGGGGTATGATTGCGGGAAGTGGGGCTCAGGCGTGTAGGTGGGAAAGGGGCAAGGCTCGGGTGTGAGGCAGGGGATCTGGGCTCAGGGCAGAGGAGGGTGCAGGCGCGCAGGGGGTAGGGCGCGTCGGTGTGCAAAGGGGGGGTGTAGGCATGCATGATTGCCGGTGATGGCTGACGGAGGGCGCCGGCTGGTTTGGGGAGGAAGTTGGTTTGGGAGAGAGAAAAGTAGAAATGGAAGAGGAAGGGGAAGGGGAAGGTTCGAGATGCCTTCCCCTTTTTTCCCCTTTTTTTTTTTGTTTTTCTTTCTCTTTTTTTTTTTTTTTTTGGGTCTTTATGGTTTTTGGGTTTTGTGTTTTGGGCTTGGGTTTTGGGTTTTGTGTTTTGGGTTTGGGTTTTGGGTTTTGTGTTTTAGTGTAGATAGGTTTTGGGTTTGGGTTTTTGGGCTTTGATTTTGGGTTTTTGGCTTTGAGGCTTAAAATTGGAATGGGATGGTGTTGGATTGGGTTTGGTTTTGATAGGCTCAATATTGGGAATGGGCTGGACTTATAAATTCGTCTCGATGAACTTCACCTTTCTAACTTTTGATTTCTTCAATTGAGCCCCTTGTTTTAATTTCTTTCATCTCTCTTTTCCAATTTTCTTCACAAAAATCCCCCATTTTGCTCACGAGCCTAACAAGGAAAATAAGGACAAAACATATTAGTTAAAAAATAAAAATAAAATTCTATTAAAATTTGAGTTATGATAATGGGTTTGTGAAAACCCAGATTT